ACTTTTGAGAGTCCTAAAAGAGTTCATCCAGGTACCCTGTTCATTCCAGCCCACCAACATTGAAGAGAAACAGTGAGGTCCACTTCCCATGGCATTCCTGAATCATCCAATCTGAGATATTTAACTGACACCAGCATCATCTTGGGGTATATAATGGGGAAGGGAGGGTGTTGCAGGAAACTTTTGGAGCATTATTTGTTTGTTTTGTTTAGCAGGTCAAGTCCAGAGGAGGAAAAAAATGTGGAATCGAGCATTTCAGGCTTTTGTAAAAGTGCCTGTTGCATTCAAGGTCTCCTTGTCACTGTGATTTGCAGGTATACTCTATTTATCTTTTTGCTGATCGTGTTTTCATTTTCATTGATTGAAATAAATTCACACACACACTATGCCAAGGACAAACATTACTTTACAGACACTGCATAATCAACCATCAACCCATAAATAAAAATGACCATAATAAACATACCGATTTCCCAACTGCTCCATTTTCCTCTCAAGAAATAGGACCATGTTAAAGATAGATTTCTAGGGAAATAATACCCAAAGAAACTGGAGAAGTAGTTTGTAATTCTAGACAATATCATCAAATGGTGGTGTTGGGGCTGACTTCAAAGGTAAGCAAGCCTTTAAAGCATCTCAAATGGTATCATCTAAAGTTGCTATCTTTCCTTCCTACTGGTAAGACTAGTCCTGGAGTAGTAGGTAAGTAAGGAATGATTTCCTTTTTGTGTTTACTAAAGGGTCCTCTGTGCCAGTTGATACCAGCACGCTTGCACTAGATGGTATTAAACTTGTCTGCCCTCACACTCTACCTCAGGAGATGACGAGAGCTGAGGAGGCATGATTTGCAGATGTTACCAGGGTCAGGCTGTAAATATATCTATTTTCATCAAGTGGCACCTGTTTTAAGTAGTATCACAGGTATTATTTTAGTCAGTGAAAACTGTAAAGAATTTCTACTTAGCACCTTAATAGCCCAAATCTTAGCTCTGTCCTTGTCATCTTGGTGAAAATACTTCGCAGTTATCCTCTTTCTAACTTCCCGACTATTTTTATTCATGAGTCACACACAGGCTCTAGGAGAGATTTCCGGTAATTCTTGCTCTGCTGCAGGTATTTCTTGTCTTTCCTCTTGGGGCCTTGCACTAAATAAGCCTTATCTGATGTCCCGGCTCTGAACCACATTGGCCCCATGGAGTTCTCACTTTCGACCCTCCACTACCTAAAATAAATCATCCTTTGGAAGAATTATGGAAGATTTTTCAAGGGAGGTACTGTGGAAAAGTTCCATCACTCATTGTTCAGACTTCGGCCACTCATAGTGTCTCGTTTTATTTCACAATTCTCCTCATCTCTAAGTCTTACAAGATAAATGTACAAAATTTTGACATCACAAAAAATTACTGCCAAACCTATTGTTTTTCATTTTTGCTTGCAGATTCTAGTAGTGCCTACACAGTGATCATTCTTTATGAGATTTAGTTGCAATTATGTAAATGATCATTCTTTATGAGATTTAGTTGCTTTGAAGTTTAACACAACCATTTTCCTGAAAAAATTAAACTTATTTTTAAAGTTCTTCTTAATGTCTGGCTACTTAAAAAAATTAATAACAAAATCACTGTCTCCCATGTGTTAGCCATTATATTAGATCACATTAAATTAGATCATATTTAAAGTACAGTAGTAGAACTATATTATTCAAATGTACTATTTAGATGCAATGAGACTATGATAACTAAATTTGTTGGACACAAATCACAAATAGAATAATGAAACATTTGCTTTACATTTGCAGAGCACTTTTGATCAAAAAAGATAATGAATTTTCATTTCAATTTTAATAAAATTAAATAGACATAATTGATTCTTTTGAGAATTATACATGCATTTTCATTTTAAACAGGCTCTTTAAATTTTACTTATCTGGATTTTTTTTATGTAAAACAAGATTAAAGAGGATATAAATGGAAATTCTTCATGTAAGAAGTTTTTATTTCTCATGTCATTACAAGGCACACTCCTTTTATTCTGCATAATCTCTTTAATTTTATAACTATGACTCATGAATTATTAATTACTTGAAGTTGAAATTTTTTAAAGAAAATACTCAATTAACCACAAGTCTAAAGAATGAGTGTCTAGTTAATATACACTGCAAGTTAACTGAAATGTGCAATGCTTTACTAATGTGAAAAATACATCATTTAGTAAATATTCAATGAGACTGTTTTTGTGAAAATTACCAGAAGATATAGATTCTTTTACTTACTTAAAAACAAGAAAACATATAATTATCAAGTGATTAAAATAAATACATTTCAACAAGCATCAGAAAATCATCTGTGTTATTAACTAAATTTCAAGTAATTTAAATTTTTCACAAATAATTGCGGTTGGGGTGGTTAACCAACTCACATTCAGTTTTGTTAAAAATATCTATGCTAGAATCTTACTCTGCTGATAGACAGTGACTGTAATGGGGTATGTGGTGGGGACTTGATAATAGGGGGAGTCTAGTAACCATAATGTTGTTCAAGTAATTGTACATTAATGATATCAAAATAAAAAAATAAAAAATAAAAATGAAGAACTAAAAAAAAATAAAAAAATATTTATGCTAGAGTTTTAATAACTTTTTCAAAATAAACTTTTAGTTAAGTAAGTATTTAGCAGTCCCTTTTGGAAGTTTAACAAAAGTTGAAACAACTAGGGAGGCAGGAGCTTAATACATTTTTTCTCATCTTCCAGGAAGTTTAGTTCAGTTATACTAAACTGCATTCACAATTGGGGTTCACATGTGCATGTCTTAAAGAATGGTTGCACACTTGTCTGGAGGTTTTCTGCATTATCTCCTGGATAAGCACTCATATTCAAGGAGGAGGAAGGCAGGGACACAAAGACCACTTTGATATAGATCAAAGGTAGTGGGGCACTGGCAAATCTGGTTTATCTCCAGCATACAGCTCAGGTAATCTGATTCCTATGAAAAAGAGGATATAAATGAAGCCAAAGGGGATCTCTTCACTACTAAATTCTTACTCTATAGGAAAAATAGGCATGTTTGTATGAGATCTAGACAGTGTCACTCAGGGAATGAATGGAAATCAGCTGAGAGACTGAATGAATGGATGGTGCAAAGGCCCCTCATTCTCAGGTAGTTTTGAAATGCCAACTAGTTTCTGAAATTCAAATTCCTTAGGTCATTCAAAAAGGGATCTAAATTAGGTTCTCAAGAATTTTTAAAGTGCTGAGAATTTCAAACTCTCTTAAGTGAACAACTTCCCAAATTTTGTGAAGGCTGATTAGTTTTTTTTAAATTACAGGTTTATCTCTTTTTTTATTAATGTATCATTGATATACAATCTTATGAAGGTGTCACCTTAGCAACATTATGGTTACAACATACACTCATATTTACAAGTTTATCTTTTAATATAGATTTACAAAGTAATTTTGGTTATCTTAATTCCCTCAGTCTTGATTTACTTTACAGACCAAATTAAACAAGCCTGATAATTATAGACAGAAAAAAGAAGAAAAAAGTGTGAGAAGAAACCAAGCAGGGAAAAACAGAGACTTTGAAAAATTGTAGCTACGGTCAGGGAAGCCCCTGCACCAGTATAGATTATGTGCAGTCTGGACAACTATTATGGATGACGTAATATTCAGACATTACTTTATTCCAGTCCTTAGAAAGAAAGAAAGTGAGCCAGCTAAGGTAACAATAGCCAATGGCAAATAGTGTTACTGGGACATTCAGACTTAGGTCTCTCTGACAGGAGATGTACTTTTCCACTCCTGCTACTTACTGCTTCCACACAATTTGTGTGTTCTTGGCACAACACTGGCTGCATGTCCAAGACTGTGTGAGATGCGGAGGAACCCATTATCTGAGAAATTCAGTTCTTCCCTCAATACTACATAGTCTGGTTTAGGAAATAGTGTAGCTCTTCCTTCCTTCTTTTTTTCCATCCCTATGAGAAACATGAATTTAGTGCCTACTTGTTTTTAGGCACTAAGGATATAAAACCCTAGCCCTTGTCCAGGAGCTTTTCAGACACTGGAGATGTGAATTATTTGAAATGAGGGTGCAGCTATCTGAGAGAAAAACAGATTAATGTGATGAGGGGTTAGAGGAAGAAAATGAATATTAATTAAACACATATTATATGTCAGACCTTCTGCCTGAACTGGAAATACACACAAAGCACAACAGTCAGAGAATAGTGCCAAATTCCAAAAGCCACAATTCATGAAAAGATCAATCTAAACAACATGTATTTAAAAACATGCCAAATTTGGTTTGTAACAGATTTGAAAAATAAGTTACATGAAACTGGTAGGAGAAAAGACCATATCTATCCCTTAGGTTTTCCCAATATAGAATAAATCCTCATTGTGTTAAAAATACTTTGCATATTTAACAGTTTATTTTTGGAAATGTATCCTAATTTTTACTCTTACTCTTCACTTAGGAATAATTACTTCAAAATGCAGTAGAAAATTTGATGATCCATTCATGTTTATTAAAATGAAATTCCATATGCAGGTGGGCTTGCTATAATTTAATTTAGTGTTGTTACAAGTACTGGCAAAAACTCCCTTGCATTCCAGTATCCCAAAAAGGAATAAAGATGTTTAAAAATATCCTCAAGCATACTCTTCAGTGTTTCTCATAATATGTTTAAATAACTAAAATAAAATTTTGCCTTACATGTGTGCCCATTATTTGAATGTTCTTCTGATTGTCATTAGTTCCAAGTTCAGATATAATCATTTAGACACTAAAGAGATTACATTCTGACAGTATTTCACAGAATTACACGCAGCACTTACTTATCCACTAAGTTTGTCAAGCAGATGGAGAAAAACTAAATCATGTGCAATTATGTGTGTATTTGTTGTATAACTAAAAAAATTTAAATGATTTCCCATGACTTTCTATCAGAATTAGAGAGAATTCTATCTAAAAGTTGATCGCTTATCTTAGCACTCACCTCATGTGGGTGATGATCAGTGTTGTTGTGGGAATGAAGAAGTCATCTACTCGGTCAAATTGCTTTCCCACTGGCTGGGTGTGGATCGTGTGGTGTGGCACATTCCCGCTGGCCAGGGTCACCACCTACACAGAATATGCCATGTTTAGATCTTGGCAATGCATTCCCTTAATAGTATCCACTTTAACTGTGATTAGAGATTAAACAGATCTCTAGTAGTTGTTTGCATAGACTCTATCACCATCCTCAATATCAGTATTAAGTATTAATTCAATTAAGCAAGTTGGAATTCTCTGTTTGCTGATTTTAATATAGCATCTTCTCTTTCTATAAAGAAGTAAAAAATAGGAAACAATTTGTCTTGAACAATTTCTGCTTAAAATATAAAATAAATACACATATAAACAATTTCCATTTTATAAAAATGTTAACCTTGCTGAAATGAGAAAAATAAAAGCAAGCTTACATATGATACAAATAAGATACTAGCATTCTTTCTCTCCCTTTCTTCCTTCTTCACCTCCCCCTTTCTTTTCTTTTCTCCCTTCCCCCTTCCTGCACTTCCTTCCTTTCTTCCTTTCTTCCTTCTTTTCAGTCTTACTGAAGTTTAACTCATATACAAAAAAATGCTCCTCCCATAGAACAGACCAGGATGTATGGGACTGAAAACTCCAAAATAAATAATATGAATTATTTTAGCTTTTAGAAATATTAGGATCAATAAAACCATATTAAAACTTTATTCCCCTATACTTAAAATAACAGATTTAATCAAAGATGTTCTTTGCAGCTATTCATCATTAATTGGCTTTTAAAACTTTTATATAGAGTCCACTAAAGAAAAGATCACTACATTTAAACTCTGATTCCTCACATCCCGTTATGCAACAAATTCTATCAGTTCTTCCTTCAGATGTCTCTTACCTACACGTTTCCTATTGTCCCTGGTGTACAGCTATTGTTCTGTGTTGGGCTTTTAAGGTGATTTCCTGCCTTTATTTTTCCCCTTTTAAGTCTTTTGTACATATGACCATGAAACTAAACTTCTTAAACTACTGACTAATTCTCTAAGTTACATAAACTTTCCTCCCTCAAAACTGAGTCTCTTCCTTTGCTTTTTATGACAGAGTATATAGCAATTTTATTTTTAGGTTTTTTTTGAAAGGTTAATTTCTCCTTATTCCTATGAGAGTACTATCATTGAGTTCCATTGGAAATTGCCATGTTCAGTGAAAATAGATTAATTATTATAACAGTCAAAAGAGGCTCAGTTATGTTACAGTTAAAAAACAGAAGGAAACAGAAAACAAATCTTACAAAGTCTTAGTGGCTTAGAGAATAGAGATTTCTTTTCACACCTGTTACTCTCCCAGAGGGCTTTGACAAAATATCTAATGGTTTCACGCTGAAGGAGCAGCCCACTATCTTGAATGTTTCCATTCACACCAGATCTCATTTGCCAGAACTAATTATAGGGTCTCACCAAACCAAAAGGAGCCTGTCAGGTTTCCAGAGAAAGAGAGGGACAAAGTGATGTACAGAGGGACAGGAGACAAGCATCATAATTTTCCAAAAAGCCCAGATATGAACAGCATAGTAAGAACAGGAAGGATTTCATCCTAAGGCTGAGATTCCATTTTAAAAACTAGGAAGTTAGGAAGTAAAATTTCTAACATATTCTTTGGTAAGCAGACAACAATTCAGCCCACCATGGGGCAGGTGGGTGGTCTTGACTGGTTTGTTTCCAGGGGGAAGCTGCTATCCTGGAGAGGAACGGACCAAGTTCTTGTGTTGGTTTAACTTTGCAGAGCACCTGGAGGACTGTTAATAGGAGAGAGAAGACATAATGTCCCTCACGGGAGATAAGCCTTCTGAGAACACCTTACAAGTCTATTCCCCCCCGTCCCCCGGCCTTTGTCACATTCCTGAAAAATCCTGAGAAGATAGAACCCAGGGCCTTTCAGAGCGCCTCCTCTCTGAGAACACCCACACTTCTTTCTTTAACTGCATACCTTTAAATAAAACTTTCTCACTGCTCAACTTAATTGAGTTTTGCCCTTTTTGCTGTTACATTCTATTTCCAAGTCTCCATTTTAGCCCTGATAAGTGGGGGCTGCTGAGAGCTCGGATTTGGGCCTGCAAGTTCCCGTCGCCTGAGGGACGGTATGCACTGAGTTTCCTCTCCCTCCCTCTGAGCCTCTGCATTTTCCTGCCCTGAGCTGCCTGCAAGGCCTCTGCCATCCATTTCTGCTCTCACTTTAATGAGTTCCTTCCTTACCTACACTCTTCCACCTGCTCCAGAATTCTTTCTCATTCAGAGTCAAGAACCCTCCCCTGTCCAGGCCGAGGTTTCACCTGGTGCACAGGGAGAGACCTCCCAGACGCTGCTGCCTGACAACAAAAGTATTTGACAGAAGTGTTAAAGACACTATACCTATTTTATTAATGAATATCAGTGAGAAAATCATCACTAGATTTTAGCCATTCATAATAATGTCTATAAGACTCTAATAAAGATCAACAAAAATAATTGGGAAGGACTGTCTAAATTTTCTTCCCTTTAGATTGGATAGAAGTGTACTTCATACAATCACAAAATTTTCAAATCATATACTTGTATTTGAAATTACTAATAATACTTGGACTGACAGCAGCAATAATAGTATTTACTGAGAGCTAATGTTTACCATGTGCCAAAACGTGCTCCAAATAGTTTACAGGCATCACAAAATTTAATGTTCAAACAATTCCATAATGTATGTATTGCATCCCAAACTTAATTGATGCAAGACTATTTCACTTCACTGAAGTTATATTAACTGAGCATTTCTTTTGTGTTTGGCTAGTCTCAGATGGTAAAAACACAATGCTCCTTCCCCTCAGTCTGGACTTTGTTCTCTGATGTTCTCACCACAGGGGAACTGAGCAGAAAGTGGTGGGTTGCCAGGTTCAGAACTGAGCTGACTAACTGCAAGGACACACAGGCTCATCTATGATGCACCTTAATCAGTAGGCCCATCTTGCAACAACCCTTGGCTCATTCCTAATGACACCCTGCTGCTGGTCTCTCTACATGTGGCACCTTCCACAAACCCAGAGCCACCACCTCCCATTGTCACCCCATCTGGCTGGGGCCTACTTCCTGGCCAAAGGCAGAAAGTAAGGACTTCACTCCAAGTTGTTTCCTGGGGATATTTCTTCTCTAATTTTTGTGCATTTAAAAATCATTACATGTGAATTGTAAAACTGTGCAGATGACAGACTCATGGCTTTTAGAACAGCATTTCTTAAAAGGCATATATGCCTTTTAAAAAGAAAATAATGACCATGATAAATCTTTGAGAAATTATCTGAGAACACTAATTGGAAAATTATGAGAGTTTATGGGGTTTTACTAATTAATTGTAAACATCACAGAAAAACAATGTATTTAGCTTTCATAATTGGCAAAGATATATGAATTTAATTTTAATCAAAATGAAAACAAGTAGAAGTAGAAGTAGAAGTAGAGCTTTAAGATCCATAATAAAAAGCTTTTGAACCTTCAAGGGTCAGTGGGTACCATTATAAAATATAATGCATTAGGGCAAAAACTTCAAGCCTTCACACCTAGCATCCATCTCTCTTTCCAGTCTAATATTTCGGGGACATTATGACAACAGGAACACTCTGGCAAAAATGAGACCTTGTCCATGTTTTTTCGTTTGATGAGTTCAATTTCTCCAAAGGGATACCTGTGCTCCATTACAAATAAATCTTGAATCCCATTTCCTTCAGGGACATTTACCCTGATAATCCTGTTGGGAGGCAATTATGCATGAGTTTTTTTTGACATTTCTGCAGAGTCAGGTCTTCCTGGGCAAAGGGCACTGTCACTCTTGGTTAAAGGATCAGGGTACAGCAAAAAAGTTTTGGAAGCTAGAGATGGTGTATTTCTCCTGAAATAGTTAGAGACTTAACTCCTTTGAGCCAATTACTCACATTCTAGGGTACTGACCTACCCCTCCTTTCCCAGGAGAAGATGTGCATACATTCCTGTGTAATAATATATCTCACAGAGAGGGATGGGCTGATGTGCCAATGGCCTAAACAAAACTTAAAGGCATCAGCTTACTAACTAAAGGTAGTTCCAGATTCCTTCTTCTGCAATACAATTGTGTTTCATATGCTGGGTAATAGTCTCTCACCAGATCACCCCATGGGGCTTGGGATTGGAGAATAAACAGTAACATGCTCTATGAGTAAGAAATGGGCCCTCCTTTGATACAGAAACCCTGTGTTGCCTGTCTGTCTATCTATTTATCATCATATACATATATAAAGTAAACATGAATATGTAAACAAATCTTCTTGCATGTACTTCTTAATTCCTATCTTTTATTTTATATTTTTCAGGTGTCAGACTTACCTTTCATTGCTGCCCAGTAAATATTTAAAAACTTCACATAATTTTACTAGCATAAAATTTTTTATCAGACATTCAGAGAAAAATAACCCATTTTTAGATGGCTGAATATTGTGTGAGAAGCTACCTAACATCTCTGCAAAACATTTTTTCCCCTTTCTTTTATAATATTAAAGGAATTTGCCTGAACTACTTTTGGAAAGATTACCACACTAGGAAAGCAATTAATCTATTCAAGTAACATGTACCAAAGGGGAGGAGTAGGAACAATATACTGAAAAATATATACAGTTTTAAAATTAAGAATGTTTTAACTTTTATAAGCTGTGTTTACTATAAAAGTAATATTAAAAGTAATTTATGAGAATAAAAGTTTTTAAATATCATACATATTGACCTCTTTTATTAATCTTGTCAAGATTATATTTAAGAGCAAAATATCAAATAACTAGACCGTACTACCATACTGTGGTGGATCATCCTTACTGTCCACAACAAAGACTGGGCCCTTTCCTTCAAGAGATTGGTGGAAGTGACTTTATTTTTGTGAATTTTGGAGTCTAGGTCTAAATTGGCTTTGCAACATCTACTGTCTTGTAACCTGGAACCCCCATGCTGTGAAGATGTCAGCCCAATGGATGAGCAGGTACATGCAAGAGACACAAGCCACCCAGCTAAGCTCTGCTGCCACATGACAGGCGTGGGAGTGAGGTCATTTTGGTCCTTCCAGGCCCAGCTATCGGAACACTCCCAGTTTCAGATGACTGCAGCCACATGAATGTTCCCCAACTGTATGTGCTGAAGAACTGCACAGATTGCGAAGCCACAGAATTAGAAGTCATTCCTTAATTTTGTTTAAGACATGAAGTTTTGAGTGGTTGATATGCAACAATAGATAGTGAAATACTGTATTATATTTTAGATGCTTCAAATGACACATATTTCTAGAGAAATATAAAAAGAACTGTCATTCTGACGGTTACTTTAAAGTATTTCATCTCAATAAACCTGTCCTTTGTAAGTTAAATATTCCAATACTGAAAACATTTGAGAAATGTTAAGAGTATTTGTAGTGACAACCTATTAAAAATGAAAACATTCCATTCAACAGACTTACTGAAAACTGGCCAAAGGCCAGTGATTTAGGATTTAGTAAGACAAGACATAGTCAAGGCAGTTCTGTAATCACAACGGCAGTTTGAGAAATAGAGAAAGCACATTTCCAGGGCCACACATTCTTTTCCACGTCTTCACTGTGTCCTCTTAAACTTATAACTCCAAAATTTAAGGTCAGTGCCAAAGAGTCATTGTCAAATGTATGTATTTTTTTCTCGGTCAAGTTCTCTTATAAAAAATGTCAAAACATAAGCAAATTCCACAAAATTGACATTACATATCCCCCAATTAGAAACGAGCCTGGGCACAGATATAAAATACTGTCTCTGAGGAGAAGATTGGCGATCTGCTTTGAGACTCCATCCAGCTCTCTGTGTCTCTGACTCCCATGGCCCACCCTCCAGGTTTCACTTTGAAAAGAGAGATGGAAGTAAGAAAAATCTCATGAAAACTGGAGACAGGTAAGAAATTCTCAAAAGGTAAATTATGACATTTTTTTCCTAATGACATTGGCTTTGTAATAATAGCTTATTCTGTTTGCATATAAATCTATCCTTCGATAAATATGACCTATAATATTTTCCAGTTCAAAACAGTGCTTATCAATTCTTCTTTTCCTTTTTCCATGCAGATCTAGAAGTGATCCAAGTACAGCCTTCAGATGGAAGAACATCATTGTCAAACAGTCATAAATACCCAAGTTGATATCTAAGGTTTCAGAGAGCATTGTTTTCTCAGATTTCCTGAAATGTACTTACCTGTAGTGTCGGAGAAGTCTTCTCCATGGTACCCCAGCTTAGCACCCAGACCTGATCATGGGATTTATCATAGTGTAATTTAACTGGGACAGGGTCTGTGCTTACTGCCTGTAATAATAGGAGTTAAAAAAATGTTTCAGACTGAAATATTAGTTTAAAACTAGAACAGCAATTACGGAACAGTCCAAATATCTTACGTTCACTAATTACCTATGAAAAATTTATGCGATGGATAAGTTATTTAGAAACTCAGGATATAAATGATTACATGTACATTTTAACCAATTGTTGAATACTGACAAGAATTACGTTTGTACTATTAGGTTTTTCCATCCTGATACTGGCTATTGGATTTGACAATCTGTAATACTAAAAAGCCAACAATCTGATATATGGTTGTAACTCTAATAACAAATTACCTAATTTAGTTTCCTAAATGAGAAATTTAAAACCACAGAAAGGAGAAGCAAATTGTTTGTACCATACTTCATATAGTGAATGTGTGTTTCTTCTAATATTTATGTATTTAGCACTTAAAGGAAAACTTCCGGAAGACAAATTGTTGCCAGAGGTTATTTCACACACCTTAATTTCAAGCTATCCATTTTACAAGGAAACACCTTTTATAAAGAACTTCCTATAATTTTTTTCTAATTTTATAGCATAAAACAAATTTGAATGAAAATTCCAGTTTGCCAGCTGTCATGAGATTCTTTTTTGTTTTCATCAGGTACTTTCATAACAAGGATTTCATACGGGCATACATACTACAATCCATCAGTTATGTTACTATACACATAAAACAGGATAAGGAAACTGCGACTCAGTTTTACCAGCAGTCATCCAGCCACGGATCAGCTGGGCTAAGGTTTGATAGTCTGTGTTTTTTCCCAGTGTGGGAGCCTCTGCACTTGACAGACCATCCCTCCTGGCTGACAGCGTGATTCCTGGCAGGGTATGCATATGCTGCCTCCCTCTTTGTGCCTCCCGTATAAGAAGCACTCCTTTGTTTTTTTTCTCTTTTGGGAAACGGGAAGAAACCCATGGGAATCAGTGAGAGGCAGTATACACCACGCTTATGAACATGTATTCTGAATAGAACTTAAATCCTATTGCCTTCACTTAAAATAAAATAATAATAATAATAATAATAATAATAATAATAATAATAATAATAATAATTTCCTTGGAAAGTTATTAAACTTTTCTGTGGCTCAAATTCCTCTATAAAAAATGGGGAGAATAATAAAACGTACTTTAAAGGGCTGTGTGAATATTAGGTGAGGTAGCCAATGTAAGTGCTAGGGTGTGCTTGGCAGAAGCACTGTGGAAATTCTACTCCTGCTACTATTAGAAAAGCCAATTGAACTAGAGGTATTTTCATGACAATTAGAATCATAGTGTTTTGAAGTTACAGATGCAATGTACTTATTTAGCAAATGGAGAAACTGAGACCTAAAAGAGAAAGTAAATAAACACAGTCTTTATCCTTGAAGAATTTATAGGCTAGAAGGTGAAAGGTGAACTTACCATAACTTGATGCATATCACAACGTAAAAACAAGGACCAAAAGCCTTGCAAGTTCAGGGGAAGAAGTACAATGCAGGGTGAGGGCTCAGAGGAGGAAGTGAGGTTTTAACTGAGTTTTGAAGTATGAATATTTTTATAAATAGGAAGACAGAGATTACTTTTTAGGGTTTACTTATGAAAAAATGTTCTAGGAGATGTCAAAAGGCAGTCCCTGATTAATTGATTTCAAATAAATTAAGATATATATATATATATATATATATATTTGCAAGAAGAAAATATCAATTACTTTTCCAAACAACTTCGGAATGTGAAAAATGTCTGCCCAAGGTTCTCCAAAATTTTTGAGCACTTTGTATTTCATCATTTTAAAAGTTTGATATTAAATTCAGTTTATTTTGGTATTTGGTTATAAAGCTCATTAGAACTGAGAAGAGCATCCAGATCAAAATGAAGAAAATTACATCTAACACATTTTATTTGGAAAATGTTAAATTCTAAGGCTAAATCTGTTTACACGTTTTCAAGTGTGCAGCTATAACACATTTTACAGAGAAAACATTTATGTGTTTTTACAGCAACAAAATCATGTAACAATTACAAAAATATTTCCAAACAACCACCTTCAGGATAGTCTTGCCACAACTCAATTTTCAATCAGAAAACAGATATTTTCATACTTATATCATCAACTTTTGAAAGGGATAAATTATATGTGTTGGATTTAACAAAATATCTGCTAGTATACTCTGGAAGTTACTTTAAATGAATCAGTGAATTTAGATCATTAGCTTCTGTAAAAGTCAAAGACACTATTTTTGACATTAAAAATCCTTTCCACAATTAAACCTGTAAGCCTTTGTGGTATAAAACAGTTTAAATGTTTCTCTCCATTTTAGGAAAACGACTGTAGAGAGTCTGTTATTCTCCACTGCCTTCTTTCACCCTACCTCATGTCCTCAGGAAGCACTATTATCTCTGCCTTCCACTGACCTCTTTGCAGCCCCTCTCTGCTTCCACAATGGACAGAACATCCATCATTTCTAACCTTACCACATCAGTTCTAAAGCCTAACTTTTTACTCATCAACTTCCTAAACAGATTTGTCAGAGTGATTTTTTTTTTGTGGAAGTGTTAGACAGATCATGACACTAATCTGTTCAAACACTACAGTGTCTTCTCATTTCTCTCTTGGTAAAAGTGGAAAGTCCTCATGCTGATGACCACACCCTGCCTGACCTGTCACTCCCATCTTTTCCTCTGATGCCATCGCCTATTACTGTCCCCTCGATGACCCCAGTCCAGAAGCTCTTGGACTCCACGCTGCTCATCCAACCTGCCAGCCGCACTTCTGCCTTCGGAAGGCTTTTCCACAGAAACGTCTTCCTGTAGAGACTCAATGAGTGGTTCCTCAACACCTTCCTTGCTCAGAACACACCTTCTCAAGGAAGCCAGTCTGACTTCTCTATTTCATACTGTAACCAGCCTTCCCATCGGGCACTTCCCCCATTCTTAGCTTTCCCAGAAACACCTGACCTGACTCTTTCGTTTTACCTTTTGCAGTGACACCACCTTACATATTATATAATTTATAGTTTCAGTATTTGATTTTTCATTGTCTGTCCCCATCCAGGGGATTGTAAGCTCCAAGAAGGCATCTTTATGTGTGGTGTAGGTCAGTACTATAACCTCCTCACTTAAAACAACACCTTTCAAATAGTACTACTAAATATACCACGAATTAACCTCTAAACTACTTAATTGGGAAAAACACATTGCAAAATTGAACAACATGCCAAAGCATTATTACTAATTTCATCATTATTATTTTATTTAATAAAAATGATTATACTCTGCACCAAGCTTGTTATGAAGTTTTCTTCTGAATATTTCACAAATACAATTATTTTTATTTTATCTTCCCAAAAGTCTTTCTGTTGAGGTGTGTGCTATTGTTACTCCCTTCGTGCAGATAAAAGCGAACAGAAGACTAAGGGGACAAATGTTGATCCCTCCTATAGTAAAACTCCCACTTTCCTCTCAGGACACCTTCATGTCCACTATGTGTACGTCCTGTCCAATGTTCAGATGAAGTCAGGCCTCCAATAGTCACCCATATACTAAATATTTTTAAAATGCAGGCCTCCAATAGTCACCCATATACTAAATATTTTTAAAATGTAATATTCTTTTTCAGATAAAAAAATACAAATGATGTACAAGGATTGCCTTCCCACAAACATTCTTCTTTTCGTCCCTTGTGTTGTATACACTCCACTGTGGAGATGAGTGTGTGTATGTATTTTTTGTTTTCTCAGCCACCAACCATTTCTAGGGAAAATGATATAAGCTAAATGACAGTGTTAAAGAATATATAATTGGGAAAAAGTACTGCATATATACTCATCTTTCTCCTCATGTAACCTACATAGAATGCTCATTTATCACCGATATATTTGCATTTGACTACCAATATTATTTTGCTAGAAACATTGTTTTCGAACTTTGTCTTGAGGAGCCTATCGAAATGAAACATTTGTAGCAGGTAAACCTCACCAGAGAACAAAGGGAATAACTTTTGATCTATTAAATGATTCTGTAACACTGTTTAAATAAAAGGTTTTGATACTATAGGTTGGAAATTTCTCTCCCATATCATACACACTCTGATTCTGTATACTTAACCTTTGCTTGGCATGGTGAAATTCAGATAAGAAAGGCATAATCTTTCTCCCAAAGGACTTACTAATTTAGTAAAGATTTTCAGAAATATCTTCCAGATAACTGAATATTTTGTGAGTGTAATTAATTAATAGTAATAAGGTACATATTCAGGCCCTGGAATCCATATTTTTTAATTTCTTATTTAAGTGCCATTTTCAGGATGTAATATTTTCATGACGAATTAACTTATTTTATTCCTTTGTAAAAATATGTTTAAAATACACCATATTAAATGTAATCATAAGTTGGTGTTTGCTGTAGTTTTATAAAGATATTGATAAAAACATTTTTTCTTTAATGTTTCAAAACATTGCTTAAGAAGACAATTTACTTATATTGTGGATTTTTTTTTTTGACTCTTGATCTGTAAACCTCGACTGCCTCATAATCCCAGCACACCTAGTGTTATACAAATTCATTCACATTTCTTGAGGGGTTGCAATAAATACAAAAATTTTGAAACACATGCTACACTGGCCATTGACAAGTTGCACCATTTTGCATAAGAATGGCTTATTTTGTAAGGGTGAAATGGAGAACAGCAGCAATGACACACAAAATGTGGGATTTAGTCTTGACATGAAGGAACAGTGAAGCACAGCTTGTTTATCAGTCTGACAAGCAGAGTACCAGCTGGCTAATTAAGTGAACCTAATTTAAACTAATGATGTAGATTCTCAAGATAATGAGCTAATGGCTAGAGGAGACTGCTGATGACACTTAAGAATACTCCTGAGGTGTCACAATAAGCCACTTCTGCATCCAAGCAGAACCTACTTTAGCTCCACAGCAGACAAAATGAGGTCAGTTGCTTACCAGTTAGTCTTTGCAGCAAAATATCACCTGTGTGTCCT